GGTTGGTGGGAGCCCGCAGGCCACTGAGTCGAGCCTGCCTCAGTCAAGCCCCAGCATTCAGGCTCAGGCTGCCCTGAGCTGAAAGTGACCCCGCTCAGCATCTGTCAGTACGCACCTCACCTTCGGAGCGTAGAAAGAGACTCTCCCCTCACCTTTTGTACAGGTTGCCCTCTCCCTCGGTTGGTGGGAGCCCGCAGGCCACTGAGTCGAGCCTGCCTCAGTCAAGCCCCAGCATTCAGGCTCAGGCTGCCCTGAGCTGAAAGTGACCCCGCTCAGCATCTGTCAGTACGCACCTCCCCTTCAGAGAGTAGAAATGCTGGGAAAAGTCCCCCCCCAACACACACCTTGCCCTCCCCCAGGAAGGAGCAAGTAGCCTTTCTCTGCCCCCCCCAGGAATAAAAATTAAAGTGGGGAGCAAAAAGGCCCCAAGAAAAGAAGCAGCATAGACATGGAGCGGTCTTTTGCTTTGTGGACAGCTTCCACCTCACTGGGGCTCTGGTTCTCTGTGCTACGCTTGGGGGAAGCAGGGCAGAAAAGGTCTTCAGAAAAAAAAAATCTGATTATTGGCTGTGCTTCAGAGCTGTGCAGCAGGTTGCTGAAAAGGGAGATGAGCAGTCTCGTGACTCACGGGGAGCTGAGCACTGAGCCGGGAGTCAGGGGGAGCACCAAGCTGGGAACCATTCAAATGTGTCTGTACATACAATAAAGTGTGCTAATACTAAAGTTTAAAGGGAGCGCTAGACTGTGAAGCTGTTGTCTTGCCCCTGCTCCATCAGCTGTGAAACAGCAATGAAGGGAGCTGAGACAGTTCTGAATGACCTGGGTGGCCGCAAAGTCACCTTAGCCTACATGGAAAAAGAGGGATTCGTTTCAAAATCTCCAGCAGGCTCTGAAATAAATACTTGACAAAAAAAATAGCTCTTGATAATAGCTATTACCCTAGCTCCAATTTCTTCTGTTGCACTAAAAGAAAAAAAAAAGAAAGGGTTTCATATGTTGCCAATGTAATATACTGGCCCAGAGCTTCTTAATATTTCATTTTGGAGAATTTTTAGTGTGTGCCAGACATCTTTTTGTTTGATTTTTTTATTTGATTCTTGTCACTGTGTTGTGAACGTGTTTCTCTGAAAAAAATTATACTGTGTTCTTATGTCTGTGGTGGCTACTTGCAAGGTTGCATTTAAAATGCGTGATGCTCAAGAAGGCTCCTTTCCAGATGAAAAGGTTGTCGCTTTTTCTAGCTCTTTCATCTACATTGTCTCCCCCACAAAAATTCCCTCTATTGAATTTTCTCTCTTCCCCTCTTACAACAGAACAATTTTTGTATAGACAAATGACGCTTTCTTGTTTGATAAATGACAGCTGATTAAACAAACCCCTCTATCCCTGCTCCTTCTTATCCCAGACGTTAAGAATCGGTACGGGCGGTGTTGAAATAAGCAGCTATGGGTTTTGCTTTCTACCACCTATGCTAACAGTGTCACACAGTGGCAGGTATCCCAGCTGCTGTGACAAATCACTTCTCTAGCACAATGCTGTGGTTGTATTAATTATAACTACTGGCAATCTGAAGCAAGAGATTGGCAAAAATCTCTCGTAGCAGCACACCCGTAGTATTGTACCAGTAGCTACGGTGCTTAAGTACAGTGTGAAGTGTAAGGCTGACAATTAAGGCATCTAGCACTTGCGGTGGTGGACTTACCACAGGTTTTTGTTAAATGATACCCTTTAACTTTTCTCAGCAGCAAAAAGCAGGATACTACTTTGTACATTTCTTTCACCAAAAATTAGGTACTGTTAAATGAATGTATAAATTTAGTATTTCAAAGTTGTCTGATTCAAAGCCCATTGAAATGAGAGAAAAAAATCCTAATTCACTTCAGTGGACTGTGAGTCAGCTCCTTTTAGTTTAAAAACTGCTAACGTGGAATCTGTTACATCCTTATTAAAATATTTTGTGAAAAGCTTTAACAATTGTACAGTTTCTTTTCTTTTACTCCCCAGGGAACCTCATCTAAAGACAACATGCAAACATTAATTCTGGTAATGTTTTACATGCACATACGGGGGAAAAAAAAGGACGAAATCTCTTTGTAAGCTCATTTAACTTTACACAGAAACCAAACATCTGTCAAAACAGTAAAATGCTGCACGATACCATGCGGTGCTATTTGTAGAGCTTCACTTAAAATCTCACTCACAATCTCTTCAAAATGGTGTAAATCTCAGAATCCTGTGTTGCCTTTTTCACCCAGGCATATTGTTATGTGTGGCCAGATTAAACAGAGTCAGGCCACTTTCTACTGATGGCTTTGTTTAACATCAGCCACGACGAAGCCGAAGTTAAGCAGCAGTGATTCACACCCGCTGCTCAACTTTGATGAAAAGTTGAGCCCGGTTTTGTTTCTTTTTGCTTTTAAATTTTATTTTCTTTTACTTTATTTATTTTTTTTTTCTGCTTTGCCTTTAAA